ATGTTAATCAGGCAACATTAGTAACGGTGTACTATGCTTATTTTCATTCACTCATGAAATTTGGTATTGTATTTTGGGGTAATTCATCATATGCTATAAGTGTTTTTCGTGTACAGAAAAGAGTACTTAGAATAATCACAGGTACTGGTTACAGGAACTCTTGTAGGCAGCTATTCGTGACATTGAAAATTCTTCCTCTTCAGTCTCAGTATATTTACTCTTTATTATGCTTTGTGGTTGATAATATAAATTTATATCAGTTTACAACTGATATACATAGTAGAAATACAAGACATTGTTTTAATCTTAATTTTTATCAACCTATAGTTCATCTATCACTATACCTGAAGGGATCATACTGTATGGGTATCAGATTGTTTAATAGCTTACCCTTATATCTAAAGCAGTTGTTCACTAATTGTAAAGATTTTAAAATTGCTTTGAAGGATTTCTTGATTTCTCATTCATTTTATACTTTGGATGAATATTTTGAATGTTGCAGATCGAAGGATAGCATTTCCTTGTAGTAATTTATGTGGATGAGTACATATATGTCTGTGGTTTGTTGATTGTTACCTAAATTTGTGGTATTTTAAAAGTTATGATTGATATTATGTCAGTCTATTATAAATTTTGTATTTTAATTATGGTATTATTGCATGTGGCATAATCCTGTCTTGCTTGTTTTGTTTTGTATCTTGTAACACACATGTATGTATATGTATTTGACTTGTTTTATTATCCCTTGCTTGTTAAAGCCAAGTGGGATTAATAACGTAAGTTATTCTTAATGTATGTTTATTTTCATTAGATTCTTTTACCTTACATTATTATTTATGTTTATTGATTGATGTATATGATTTTGATCTTGTATATGCATATTGATATCTGTATTTAAAGGACAATTTCCACATCCTGGTTTTTTAACTTGTAGGGATATATATGGAAAATAAATGGACAATGACAATGACAATGTGGACTGAGTGTGCAGGAAAGCAAGTCACATCCCAGCATGTGAATGCACTTCATTGCCAAACATTACAGACCTTCCCCCCTCTCTGCGCATTCTAATGATGCAAAGTGTTCAGTCCAGTCATGAATGTGCAGGACCATTCTAGAAAGATTATGTACACAAGACAGTTGCTGCTAGCCTGAAGTGATTCAGTTGAATCTGTGGGAAGTGACAGTTTACATGTAGTAAAACAATATGTGCTGCAAAAAGCAAGTACTGAGCGAGCTCCATACTGTTAGACACAAGAATGCAAGAAGAGAACAGTGCAATAGTGTACAAGTGTAACAGTAGTGAACTGAAACAGACAGACATCAAGATCGTAAGTGACAAACTGTAAGTAACTACTCCGCAACAGGAAGAAATGTTACACTATAAACATACTTACTTGGTATAAAGCTAACTTCAGAGGCCTTAAGTTTTCGGGTTTTCCAATGGTCTTCACACATTTGTTGGTATACAAGTTAACCACTTTCACTCCCAACATGGTGGCATATAACACAAAATAACCACTCTCATCAAAGATTATATTTCCCAAATTTATGGCCTCAGACTTTTCTAAGTCACGTTCTGCTGCCATCCTTGAAAAGAGAGAGAGAAAAAAGAGAGTAGTATTTAACCATGATTCTACTTCTTCACACAACTATATTAAAAGCTTATTGAACTGCATGACTTATTAGAAATTCAATCATTAGTTAGCATATGATTGGCAAACTGGATCTCATTCTCAGTTTGTTCCCTGTTTTCAGAAATCCCTTCAGAGGGTTTCACTAAGTGCAGGCAGAACTACATATATGTGCACAGATAATAAATCCTTAAGGTAGTACTGCCAAGATGGCGGATGGTAGGACGTATGAACAGAGCAGCTCCGCAGC